TCATTGAACTAATCCATGGTTCTACTCTAGTCACCAAATTCTGAAACTTTACAATTTGATCACTAATCCGGTATTGAGGATGTTACAATTTCCCATCCTTATAAGAAAATTCGTCCTCGAATTTTCATTGCACATCTTGATAAGAACATATCTTCTCATGTTCTCCTGATGCTTCCCTTACTTAATACTTCATCCTTTCATTTCTTTATCCTTTTATATTCAAGATTTTCTTATATACAAATCATATCTTTATCACCTCTTCATAACATTAATAATCAACTTCACTTATACAGAACCTCATAGTTTACCATCTCTTGCACTTTTATTTTCTTCCTCAAAACTCCTTTTAAAACTTGTAAATACTCTTCTCTTTGTCTTTATCATATCTATATAATCCAAATACACAACCAAATTCAAATTCATCATACTTGATGAACTTAACCGTATACCATTTCCAAATCTTACAACTCTATCACCTTTACTATTACAGTTAATAAACATCAACTGTTCAATATAGGGCACAAGCCCTAATAATCCAATCATATATCTTCCGACCTTTCATCAAACTATCCATATATGTATTCTTTCCAGTCCAAATAATTCATTCGTTATTTCCTTCACTTATCAAACCTTTATTCTCACTCTTCCATAATACAATTCTTTTGGTTCGAATTCAACCGTTCCATTTACCTTTGTCTTATAACCGATCACTGGTATACATATTCTTAAACCATTCCTTGGTCTTTTAATATTCTCCAATTAACATCAATCTCTTCCACTTTATCTTACCCATACTGTTAAGAAACTATTCTATTTCAGAATAATAAAGTTTCTTTAATACTACAATTTCCCATCCGTCTGAACTAATTGACTTTATTCTCTAACGGAGAATACAACTAATTCATATCTGGTTTAAAGCTAAAAATCATAATCTTCATCTTTCTTTTTATGGTGTTTAACTTTATGAAACACTAATTCTCTTAATCATCTGAGATTTTTATTCTTCAATCCTTTTATTTCGAGCTCACTAAAAAACTTTAACGCAATTAACCATTTCTTAAAATGAGAACAAATTCAAAATCAGTAACACTATTTTAATTTAAGGCGCAAGCCTTAAACAACCAATCATATGTATCCTTCTTAATCAAAATCAACTCAACAATACATCTTCTTAACTTATTAAACTTATGCTCATACACAAGCATGTGTAATTCCCTTCTTCCTATTTGTATATTCTAGCTTCATTTATCTTATGAACAAGTCATCCATGTACTTATTCTTGAATTCTTCTACAAATAATACCCACATCATTGAGTCTTTCAACATTCTCTTGGTTAAATTTTTTTCACCATACTCTAGCTTGCCCACGTAGTAACGAAACTACTCAATTTAACTTGTCCAATTTGGAGAAATAGAAACCTTCTAACATTATCTTTCTATTATTAATCAAATGTCTATAACAATAGAACATTGCTCAAATTCACCTTTGAACTCGGGTGCTCATAACTCTTTCAACTAATTTGATACATTCATTTTATGAGTTAAAGAAGTATAAATGGAAAACACATCAGAACATTCTTCAACATGATGAATACATTTCCAAATTTTATACAGGCACTTCCTGAGGTGTTCGCTCTTCTCCCTGCCTGGCCAGGGCAGGTGAATGCTATTACCTTCAGTCTATTGCCTTGTATTTCACTTTGGAAGCTATCATAATCATACATCTAATATAACATAACAATTTAACTCTATTAACAAGACAATATACTCCTTACACTATCAGATTAGAAAAATTTTCACTTTGTGTTGGCATGTATACTTTTTAAAACACTTTTGACTTCGTTTTTAGCCTAGAATCGGCTAAACCTTGGCTCTGATACCATTAAATGTAACACTCCCAACCTGTATCCTACCCAGATACGAATCCGAGGTATCACATTGACTTTTCAAAACCGGTACTTGTACAAATTAGTGAATAATTTTAAAACTTTTTTTAAAACAACTGACTAAATTACATAAAAGATATTCATATGATTTTAGAAAGACTAATTAGAGCATATCAAATTCAAATCTTTATTTACATGCCAACTACCATCCATATTATAAAATACATATTATACAATGCTTTTCTGATCTGATCTTTGGAAAGGAGTAACTGACCTGTCTTGCTTAACTTTTATCATTCTTCCTCTTCTTGGTACCTACGTGTGAAACAATCACATGCTAAGTTGTTGACTTAGTGAGGCATATAAAACATATAATAGAAATCATAATACATTTCATATATCAATAACATACATACATGTACATATACCATCATTATCGAAATCTCTATTTATCATATGATCTTGTATTTATCATTTATGTATATCATATAACACATTTATCATTTCACAACTAAACATATATATAATATCATATAATTCATGGAACATATTCCATATCACCAAAAACATAGCATCATATGTATTAAATTTGTTATTGTCTTTTTATTAGCCCATATTCACCTGTAAGAACTTAAGGTATGTGAGTACATTGAGGTTGTGCACTAATGTTGTCACCACAGCTCGTATAAATTCCCTCATGGGGCACCGAACATTTGTTCAGTATTTGTCCCGAATGACCACTATGTCCCGAAGGACCACTGGATACATCCCGAATGACCACTGGATATGTCCCGAATGACTAATATACCCTTGGCATGCCAACTATACCCTTAGCTCTCATATCATATAACATGGGCATTATCATTTATACTTTTCATATCACTTGTTCTTTCTCTTCTGTCACATACCATATGTATGTGTAACCATATATTTCATATCATATCACATGTATCACAAGTGCATATATTCACGTAGATCATTTCGTATGACTTATATCATTCCTCATTTGTTCATGTAAACTCGCAAGTCATATCTTGTTCACATATGTTCATATATACATCACATAGCACATAGTATAACATATAAACTTATACATGTATCCATATACATACTTTCATTTACTTCGAATAACAATACCCTATAACTTCTCACAGTTTTATCTAATCACTTATTTCACATTAATTATATTCTAGTTTCATATATTACTTAATTCAATTTCACGTAGTTTGTTACCTATATAAATATTTTCTCATAACTTATCATCACATAGTTCCCATAACATTTTCCTATAACTTCATAAATCTCTTTACCATATGACTCATATATTATATGTTTATTTCAGCTCATAAATCCTCTCCGTATAACTTATTTTACATGTTCATATAATCACTTCTATCAATGTCTCCTCATTTATATATTATTCTTATATTGTCCTATAAATCAATGTTATTTAACTTATCTCACTTTTCATCTAATCTCATAAGTTGGTTATACAAATTCCTATATATATATATATATATATATATATATATATATATATATATATATATATATATATCTAACTCATGTAATTTATATCATTCCTCTTGTTATCATATAAATCATTGCTATTTTACATAGTTCGTGATCCTATAGTTACTTATAATAGCATGTGTCTATCTTATCTCATATCATATAGTTCTTTAACTTATGTCTTAAATCACATATTTATTTTACATAACGTATATAATTACATCCACTACTTAAACCAGTTCACATAACTCATCACACTAACATTTATTCACTCAATTCATGTAACAGATGCAATACATATAACATATGTACCCATTTTCATGTACTCATTCAAACATAAGAATCACAATTCAAATAACATTTTAGAAGTCCCTTCTTACTATAGTAACTCCATCACTGGCTCATCGCAAGCCAATGTTTATTTGATACATAAGTACAATTTAAATTGCACTCACCTTAACTTTGTGTTGATTCGATTCTAATCCTTCGACTGTTCTGGAATGAGATTACGCTCTAAATCTACATAGTAATACATTGATACTTATCAGCATACGAATTGATATATTTCAAACTATAAATCCTTAGGCTAAAAGAAAGTTATTTCCATATCTTATTGAAGGTATGCATCGATGCAATACACCATGTATCGATGCATCCCTTGACGGGTGCATCGATGCATTACCCATGCATCGGTGCATAAATCATATTCGATGTTTGTATTTTAAGCAGGTGCATCGATGCACTCCTTATGCATCGATGCATAACTGGCATTCGATGTTCAATTAATTTAAATGAGTGCATCGATGCACTCCTTATGCATCGATGCACCTTCAACAAATTTCGGGATTTAACCTTAATGCATCGATACACATTGAATGTGCACCGATGCACTCTGCCCAGAAATCTCTTTTTAAACCCGAAAATCATTAATTCTTCATTCAATTCTTATATTTTAAGCCCCTATTATGTCATTAAATTCAACTACCATTACTTAAACCAACTTATATCCATGTAAACCATCTTTATCTTCCATATCTCATCATGATTCTTAAGATTTAAGAATCTTACTTAACTTTCAACTTTATTATTAATCCTTTCTAACTTCATATATCTCTTATTCTTAGTGATGACAAGTCAAATTCGTTCTCAAATTTCACTTATTAACTATTTTCCAGAAATTCATCTAAAACTCATTTTCTTTAATCTCTTCTATGTCTTTCATCTTGTTATTTTAGAACAAATTAAGCTTTCCTTAAGCTTAATTATCATCTAATGATCATAACCCAACCTTAAAATCAATAATTAATCAACAAACAAAGAAACTCACATTTGAGTCAAGCTTTCACGTATGAAGAAGGAAGAAGAGAAGAGAAGAGAACTCTGGAACCTTTTCTCTCTTCCCACGATTTCCTTATCTTATAAGGAAAATAAAAATCTTCCTTGTCAAATGACCCTTTTTGCCCTTCAATTCATCTTATAATTACTAACAACTTTTATGATTTATTTCCAAATAAATCATTGAACTAATCCATGGTTCTACTCTAGTCACCAAATTCTGAAACTTTACAATTTGATCACTAACCCGGTATTGAGGATGTTACAATGCACTTCTCAGGTATGTTTCCCACTTGTTAGCACCATATTTTTTTTATAGTTAATGCTACAAATTAACCAAATTAATTAAGATATGTGTGAATAAGTTAAGGCGGACTTTGAATGTTTCGTGCATGTCGCCCCTAGTTTTGTAGTTGGAATTTTGGTTTTCATTTTGTAAATCTTGCTTGCTTCATGACTTTTGAATCTAAACTTATGCTGCTGGAATGTCATCGAAACATGTATGTTGGTAAATACGATAGTAAAACAGGTCACTGCCTATATGGTTTATGTTTGGACATAAGACAAAGGCAAGATTGACTCAATCTTTACTTCAGATAGTTGTCAGTAAATACAATCACGCTCTACTTTAGTCTGTCTAATAAGTAGCGATATACAGATGATGTAGTTTGGTTAATGGATGAAACGTAACTTTAATTGCCGATATATTGGATAATCTGCAGGGTCATTTGTGGCCAGTACAAACTGGTATCATCCACTCTCTTAAATCTCTAATATAGTTAGCAATTCATATTGAAAAGTGAAAACTAGTAAGTAATGAGAATTTACTTTGGTTGATAAGTACTGGTAATTTACTCTGGTTGACAGTACCGAGTGGCTTCGAAGTTATCCTATGCGGACAGCTCTAGGATTGGATCTCGACCTTGAGGCATTGCAGCTGTGTCTGGAGAATAACATCAACAAAGTTGGGGCTGACGAGTATTCCAGAATATCCCTCTTTCATGGGAATGTGTTGAATCCTTGTGAGGCAATATTAGTCGGCTTCAAGCCACAAGAGCTAAGAAGGAACATTCAGTTGGAGGAAAGTGATTATAATTCCAAGATTGCTGCAACAGAACCTAACATGCTTGAGGGCTCTACTGCTTCAAAAAATGAAGAGTCCATTAAGGCAGATGCTAAAATACCTGCAAGAGACATTATATGCGCTTTTGATTACAGTTGTTGTTGTCTCCATAAACGTGCGGAACTTGTTTTGTGTTTCAAGCATGTTCTTGAAGCCTTGTCTAAAAAGGGTGGTATATTTTTTATGGATATATACGGTGGCACATCGTTCGAGCAGTCCTTGAGACTTCAAAGGGGATTTCCCAGTTATATGGTATAACCTTTCTTCCCATACAAACATGCTAATACAAAGTACTGTTTAATGATTTCATAACAATAGTATTCATTTGTTCCACCTTTCCGTGTTATATTCAGGTATATAGTATTTAGCTTCCCTCGTATGTAAGAAAAGTTTCGTTTTACTTCAAATTCTGGTTTATTTTCATTTTTGCATAAGGGTAGGCCATTGGTACGGATACCTCAAGTTATGATATACATACTGTAACATTTAAATTAATACGTGCAGTATATTTGGGAGCAAGCTGAATTTGGCATCATCGGACGCCAAACAAGGACTGGTCTCCACTTTCATCTTGCAAAGCAGCAGAAGAAACTTCGGCATGCATTTTCATACAGTTGGAGGCCATAAGTTCTGTTGAATTCCTGTTCCATTTTCTTGTTTATGATGGCACTGGCAGGTTTGTCCTTTCAGTTCAATAACTTGCCCTCGAATTCGATTACATGGCAGCTTAAATGTCCAGGTGGTCGTTGCCAGCGATTAGAGACTGGATTTCAGTCTGTCCAGTTCTGGCTTCGAGAGATGCCGGACATGAAAGAAAACAGAAGCACAGAGGGATTTAGAATCGGGTGAGGTTTGAAGTATGAAGAGGTAAAAGCATTCCAACAAGAAGATGCTTGGAATGCATATATTGTCGCTGTAACAAAATAGGCCCTTGAATCTTTTTTTTTTCCAACGGATCAATCATTGATATGCTTCTTGCTAGTTAAGATTTAGATTTTAGACGGTCCGGATATTTCTTGCTAGTTAAGATTTAGACGGTCCGAATATTTCGTGCTAATCAAGTCATTAGGAAACAGTAATCTGTTGAGGAGGTTTGGGCTGAGTGGATTTTACGGCGTTGGACACGGCTAATCCAAACACGTGTCTGGATGAGAAATGATAAAAAAGATTTCTGATATTTTCTTTTTGGTTGAAAATTACACGTGTTCTTTTACCTCCTTCATTGCTGGTTTGTCTATTTAACAATATCACGATTTATAATATTAAAATAATACAAAAGTATAGTAATATTAACATAGATACAAACATACCATACCATGCCCATTAAAAGGACAACGATTTAAGATTTCTTAATTGTCATATTTTATTTAATATTATAAAAAATGGGACCCATTTCCAGGGCAACGTTACGTTATTATGTTTCGATTTGCCCGTCCCCATTTCGGTCCCGACTTAACTCTCAATCAAGCATAATGATAATAATTATTAAAAGAATTTTATAAAACAAAACAAAGGGCAGAATTAACGTAGCTTAACGGCGAAGTAGTTTATTATATTTATATACTCTCTCAGGAGCCAATGGCCATCCGAAATTGTGGCTGTTTCAATATATGTTTTTTATGGTAAAATTGGATTCACACCGTTTATTTAATTTTAACACCTAATATTTATTTTATTTAATGGATCCAAAATAAAGAAGCCCCGAGAAAAGGAAAAAGAAAGCGTGTGGAATCTTCGGCCAAATCCCTCCCCTTCCATTCTTTCTTTTCCTCTCCAACAAAAAAGGGCGATTCCTTTCCCTTCCCTTTCCTTTCCTCGTTTACTTTTTCTTTCTCCTTTCCCTCTGATTATAAGAAGATTTCGGTTTTGTATTTTGCTCTGAAACTCTCGTCTCAGGTGATTTTCTGTTCATTTTTCCCCCGGATCTATGGCTTTTTGTTTGATTTCCTTTTGTTAAATGTTTTTTTGGTACATAGGAGATTGAAAAGGATATGGCGGAAGAACACAGATGTCAAGCACCGCAATTATGTGCAAACAACTGCGGTTTCTTTGGAAGCCCAGCGACTCAAAATCTCTGCTCTAAATGTTATCGCGATCTTCAGCTCAAAGAACAACAATCTTCCTCTGCCAAACAAGCTTTTAATCAAACATTCGTGCCTTCGTCGTCGTCTTCGTTGCCACCTTCATCATCGGTAGAATCTACGTTGCCGGTTTCCTTAGCAGCGGCGAAGGAGGGACCATCGGCGGGACCGGAGAAAGCGGCGGTGGTGGAGGAGGAGGTCCAGGTGAGACAAAACAGATGCTTGAGTTGCAAGAAACGCGTGGGGCCCACGGGGTTCAAGTGCAAGTGTGGGATGGTTTTTTGCGGGATCCATAGGTACCCTGAACAACATGCGTGTACTTTTGATTTCAAAGGGATGGGGAAACAACAAATCGCCAAAGCTAATCCTCTTATTATGGGTGAGAAGCTTCAAAAAATATAAATGAGAAATTATTGAAGAAAAAGAAAAGGGGAGGGGTCTCTTTGTAATTCTGTCTGTCAAAACTTCAGAATTTGGGTCGTCGATGAACTGCTGAAATTTAGATTGATCATTGGATCCCGGCCAACTAGTAGAAAGTGTTTTAGATTGTGGTGGTTATCGTTCCGTATATAAATGGTACTTTTTTTAATCGTTCCTCATATAAATTAAAAAAAATAAAAAAAATCATATATATATATATATATATATATATATATATATATATATATATATATTATATTTGTCGATGTTAGTTACTTGGATTTTGATTAATATTTTCACTGATTCAGAAAGGAATAAGAGATTAATAAGTCAAAATTTATTTTCATATGATAGTTAAAATACACCGTAAATAAAATGGTAATCTATGCTTTGGGTCATTTAATTATGGTTTTAGTTTCATTTTGAATATTAATTTTTTACAATGTCAGCAATATTATATATTTTGATTTTCTTTAATAACTAATTGTTAAAATATTAATTATGATACTGAAAATAATAAAAATAAAATTAATCATAAAAGTAAAATGCGTTAAAAATTAACGTTGAAGGAGGAAGAAATAGAGATTATAGATTTTAGTATTTAAGATTTTAGGGATTTAAGAATTTGTGAATTTAGGACTTTGAGGCAATGGTTAATCAGTCCGTGGATGAGTAGTAAGGGATAAATAGTGGATTCGGTGGTAAGAGATTGTAGAAAATAGTAAAACAATAGGAATTAGAATTAATGATTTTTTTAGAGTTTTGAATGTTTTTCTATATTAGAGAGAAGTTTGGTGATTTTACTGAAAAATCATCTTGACAGGAAATAATTATCTGTTAGGTATCGTTTTGTTAAATTTTACTGTTTTAATACCTTTTTGACAAGAAGCGAATCGTTATCCATGTCTTTGCGGGATTTCGTCCGAGTTGACTCCATATCATGAAAGGCGCGGATGGTCATACACGACTTATTCGAGCTGGTGTCACGTAAGGACAGGCGCGGATCACCATCCGCACTTTAGCATTTTAAAAATTAAAAAATAAAACTATAGGGGCTAACATTATAATTTAATACATATTAGTTCCATGAGTTGAAGAGTTTAATGGGGTTAGCTTATATAGGCATATTGTAATATTTAAGTTATGTTTCTTGACAATATGTGATATAAAGCTAAAATGTGTATTTCTTGATTGATATATTTATATGTATTTACATTATCTTTAGTTAGAAATATTAAGAATATAAAGCAAAATTTACGTAAAAAAAAGGATAGTTCATATATTATTATTAATTTTTATTTATTAAGTATTGATGGACATATCTTTCACACGTATATTTTACACATTCATGTTATTATTATTGATGGATTGTTGCAAAGAAAACTTTTACAAGCTTATGAGTTTTTTATTTGTTGTATCATGTTCAAATGCGATTGTACTGGCATATTTTAGGAAGATCATGAATAATTGTTCATGAGTTGATTACAACTATGGCTATTTTAGTTTTTAGACAATTAATTCTTATTAATTTTCTCTTTATGCTAATATATTTTTATTATTTAAGTTTGTGACATTGGTGACAGGGTATGTCTTCCATTTTCTGGTTCTATGTTTGAATGTCTTAAACTTCACTGTCATAGTAATATTCGCAATACTTCAATATGTGCTTTTCTAGGTTAAATTAGATCCTTCTAGGCCATTGAGCAAGCGTGAGCATTGGGTTGTTGCTGAAATTCTCAAGAAAGCTAGAATCTATATGCCTCCATCGGTGGATACAGTTGCAAATGCAAGTACCAAGAATGAAGCCCGGTTTCTTCAACCTCTTAAAGGTTCTGCTCTACTTCGTTGTAATTGGTTGTAAAAATCAAGTTTATGATTTACGTCGAGAAGAACCCATTACTGTATTTGTTTTGCTTATGAGCAATGATTTATTTAATGAAGGTTGGTATTTATGGAAACATTTATGTTCCATTGTGTTGCATCATTATATAGTTTTAAAATATCAGGGCAGTCATTTTGACTGATGTTTGAGAGCTGTTGGCAAATATAATGTTCCTATCGCTGAATTCAGTCAAATGTGTCTTGTACTTTGAATAAGTTTATTGACTACAGCATGTGATAACGTAAGATCTAACAAACAATTTTCAAGATAGCATGCTTGTGCAGCTGGCGTTTGTTGAAGGCTGTTCTGCTTTGTTGAATTTGTCCTTGTAGGTTGATATTAAAGTCTCCCCCGGATCTCATGCTAATGAAGAATCAGGTGAATTTATAAAGCTTGTAAAAGTTTTCTTTGCGACGATCAATAATAATAACATGAATGTGTGAAAGATATGTGTGAAAATTTATCCATCAATACTTAATAAAAAAATATATTAACTATATTTTTTTAACGTAAATTTTATTTTATATTCTTAATATTTCTAACTAAAGATAATGTAAATACATATCAAGAAATACATCTTTTAGCTTTTATTCCACATTGTAAAAAAAACATAACCTAAACTTTTCAATATGACTATAAGTTAACCAATTAAACTCTTCAACTCATGGAACTAATATATATTAAATTACGGTATTAATCCCTATAGTTTTATTTTTTTAAGTTTTAAAATGCTAAGGCGAGGATTGCGATCCCTACCTTTCATGATGTAGAGTCAGCTTGGACGAAACCCTGCAAAGATGCGGATGACGATCCGTGCCTTGTCAGAAAAGGTACTAGATCGATAAAATTTATCAAAACAGTGCCTGACAAATAATTATTTTCAGTCAGAGTGATATTTCGATAAAATCGCCGAGAAGTTTGAGATTATTTTTGAAAATTAATAATATTTATTTTTTAAAAAATAAAGGTTTTAAAAGATACAATGCGACATAGGTTAAATAATATTTTTCGATTGCCATAATAAATTCGACACCTAAACATTAAATATTTATTTTGATAAAAATAATTTAAATATCTAAAATAAATAAGAATATAATTATATAATTTATTTTTCATTAAATTTCATTAATATTATGAGAATATATATACTTTCATATAATAATTAAATAAAATTGATTCTAGATTTATATTTAAATTTTTTATCTTTTTACATATACACATTTTTAAGTTAAATTTTATAAATATATTTATTTATATAAATGTTTTGGTTCAATAAACATAACAAAATCTAATTTATCTACTTGTATCTATATTGTTATATTTTAAATCTTTATTATATATAATATCATTGATTGACCGAATATTAATTTAGTTAAAATTATTAAAATATATGTTATATATCATTTTAAAAATATTTTTATTTTATTTATTACTAATATTTAAATAAAAACTGATATTAAAAATTAAATATATATTAATGAATTTAACTATAAATCATTTATCATTACATGTTATTTATTAAATATATTTTAATAAATATATTTTTATGTGGATATAAAATATTAAAATCAATATGATTTAACTGATTTTTGACCTATCAAATATAGGTTCAGTCCAGTTAGTAGTAGCCTACCACAGAACAGCCACACGGCCCCACACACAGAACCCAACTTGTCTTGTCCTGCAAATATGCATTCAGAATGGGCTGAGAAGAGCCACAGAAGGTTTCCCGTCACCTAATCTTTGCTTTCTTATTCCATCAAAGCCTATATTCTAGGGTTTGCAATTTCTTAAACCTTCCCTTCTTTATTACTCAAATTGCTTTGCTTTTTGTGGCGTCTGCCTTAGTTGTAGAATTGTTTAAGAAGAGAATTATATTGTATTAAAAGACTTTTTAATTTTCAAGTTATCAGTGCACTCTTCCATTTTTGGCTTTCACCTGCAATTTACGTTCCTCTTTGTTCTGATATTTCCCGTTTCTGGGTTTTCTTCAAAATAGGAAATTATTTGTCCTTTCACGGGAAAGCTTTGTTTCTTTTTCTACTTTGTGTTTTGAACCCCTATTCTCTATTTGGGATGCCAAAACCTACCGAACCTGAAGGTAGGTCTGAATCTGATAAAAATTTATTCAAGATCCGCACTTTTTTCCTGTTCTGGCCACAACTAATAAACCCCATATACCGTCCCACCAATGTAATTGTTCCCATGAAGAGGTCATTCAGACCCTGGTTAAGTATTCTAATGCTTGTTGCGTTGACTGCAACCTTAGGCTGTCGGATTGCCGGTGACCGCCGCGGTGTCTTCACTGTTTCAGCTCCGATGGAGTCAAGCAGGACCCTAATCCAACGACCACCAATCCAAATTTTTAACTCCACTTTGCTTAAGTTTGCGTCTGTTGATTTAGGTGAAGAAAAATTCAAGCTTGAAACGAAGCAGCTGTTGGAAAAGGACTTTGCTAGTCTAGGACAGCATAGGAACTTTGCAACTTCGAGGAGGTTCGGTCGTCCTGATGTCAATTCCAGAAATTCTAAAGTCTCTAATGGATTATCGGTAATGCTCAGGTCCCCCAAATTTTATCGGCATTGGTTAGATTTTAGGAGGATTTTACAGCTTTGGGCAAGAAAAAAGATGTTTCAACCTGATATCATGATGGATTTGGTTAGATTAGTGAAGGTCCCCATGGATATCTACCATGGTTTAATGAGCTCTGATAAAAAATATAAATCTTGTGCTGTTGTGGGGAATAGTGGGATATTATTGAAAAGTGATTATGGGGCATTGATTGATAGCCACGAGGTTGTGATTAGATTGAATAATGCTATAATCGAGAAGTTCGAAAAGAATGTGGGATCAAAAACAAGTATTTCCTTTGTAAATAGCAATATACTGCACCTTTGTGCTAGGAAGGAAGGTTGTTTTTGCCATCCCTATGGAGGGGATGTTCCTATGATTATGTACATTTGCCAACAGGTTCATTTCATGGACTATTTGGTCTGCAATTCGTCTCACAAGGCACCTTTATTGATTACAGATCCACGTTTCGATATCTTATGTGCTAGGATAGTGAAGTATTATTCGGCCAAACGATTCGTGGAGGTTTCAGGGAAGGCATTGGAACAATGGGGGTCTACTCATGATGGTTCTATGTTCCATTATTCCTCTGGAATGCAAGCTGTTATGCTAGCATTGGGAATTTGTGACGAAGTTAGTGTATTTGGCTTTGGCAAATCAACTTCTGCCAAGCATCACTATCATACTAATCAGAAGTCCGAGCTACGGTTGCATGACTATGAAGCGGAGTATGCGTTCTATCACGATCTGGTTAAGAATCCGCATGCAATACCGTTCATTTCAGATAAGTTCAGGTTCCCTCATGTGCTGATCTATCGATGATTTTTGTCGGGATATGCATTCTGTCATGATCAGGTAAAGGATCTGATGGCAGTACTATTTGTTTTGGACATGCACAGGTTCCCTCCTTTGACCCATCTATCTTGTACTTCGCTCTTTTGGTCCGTCCAGGTTACATTGTTGTATTCGTGTTGTATCAGCTAGTTTCCACTAAGACTGTCAAAAGGAAACACTACTGCTGAAGATCTCTGTTTCATATCATGTCCCTAACTATCGAAGGTAGTTTAGGGTCATTTTCAAGTGTAAAATTGGAACTTAGAATATGAAGAAAGTTGTGAGATTTTTCATTTTTTGAAATTGATTCGCGGCATTTTGAAAGCTCTTTATGCTATTGTCATGTTCGAATTCAATTGAGAGCAACATAACTAATCATGTATGCATATAGAAAATTTTCTCCTGGAATCGCTTAATCTATACAGCTTCTAGATTTCAATTGTACATATATGTTTTTCATGTTCAATGTAAGTTTCTTCGCATGCCTTCCTTCTGATCATGTTCTGTTTGTTAAATATAACTAACGATTTGCAAAAGGCAACGCAAAAACAGTAATAGTTTATTCGTAGCGTGATTTACTAGGCCTTAACAAGGAACTTTAAGGAGACTTCGCTTGGAAAAGACTTATCATCCCTCTTTATTCTGCTGTATAGAACTAAATCCATTCCAGGTTTTTAAAGGCCCACATTTGTTACATTTGGTCGGGTCCAAGTTTATTTGTAAGGAAATGTCATAGAATGTACAGAAACGGTTTAAATTCGAATGTAAGCAATATTTTATTATTCTTGTTTTTAGGCAAAAACTTGACCTTCCCTGGTTAGGCAGAATATCTGGAAACCATAGTTAAACCATACTCCCAACTTGATCCAATCAAAATATCGTCAAAACGAAAGCAGATCCAGATAAATAGGGAAATTCTACAAAGATCCTTTATCTGCTTCTCATGATCAGAGATGTTCGAGGTGATCATATACACAACAAAAGCCGTCAACATCCCATATTCCAAAAGTTGTGATAAACTATACAAAAAGAACAACCCTACACCCCTTGTTTTCCCCTTCCCCTCTAATCCTCAGTGTCAATCACTGCACCTTTTTCTTCAAACTTCACTCCCACCAAGAACTTCATGCTCACCTGTTGTCGAAAAATATGACGAACATAATTTTAGCAGAGTTCTGAATGATTTACTGATGAAAGAATTTCTTGAGACTTGCCTGTTTGGGATCATAGACTGTGTACTCATTATATTCCAGAGGGCTGTTCTTGTGTTCTGAAGGAATCAAATGACCACAGGGGACTTTGATATCATCTTTCCAGTCAATGAACTCTGATTCGTCTGGTTTCTTTCTCCCCAATCCCTTAACACATGCTTTCTTCTCTTCAAATTGCTTTGTATCCTGTGTTGTTCAGTTCAGTGATGGAATAATATTTCATGAGAGGATTAAGGATTAAGGTGGTGATATAATGATGTAAAATCTGAAAACATAGTCTGGGAGTTATACCTCAGGTGGATCCTTGAGCTCGACAATTTCCTCTCCTTGTGAAAACACAGCGAGAACCAAGAAGCCCTCGGGCCGGTCTACAGCAGTGAAGCCATACCTGGCAGCCTCTGCAGCAGCATCAGAACAAACAATGCCCTTCCCGAACTGTAAAAAAGAACGTGGACGTTCAATCATATGAATAGCATTTAGACATTAATGAATTGAAAAACTATAGATGGATGTTCGTTTTTACCATGTATCCTGGAACTGGTAGAGAGCAGCTAGCTGGCAGGAAACCTTTATGCAAATGCCTTAACAGGTTTGAGCTCCGAGTACCTGGAAGAATACATCAAATACAAGAATGATCACTCAAAATCACACTTGCAGTAAGATGAGATAGATGGATGATTATTAGACGATTCAAGGCCGGCCTTACCACACCACAGGAGTCTTTTGTTTGGTAGCTTTTCATCAAAAGAGGGGCCTCCCTTCGTTTCCACACTGAAGATGTTCTCCACTGAAATCCCATATTCCTGCCCAAAATTCCCCAAGTATATAATGCTTTGTTAGCTAGTCAATGAAGAATAAAAGCTGCGCTAAAATATGCAAATCCTGGGGGTGCGGCTTACAATGCCTGCAACTTTGACAGGTTCATAAGTTTTTTCCACGTAATTGAGTATCATCTTGTAGTCATCTGAATCTTTATCCAGTGGAGAAATTGAGCATCTTATTCTCTTATATCTATCAGACAATGGATCATCAAGGGTATCATCTCCCATGTGTCCAATAACATGGGAGGCCACAACAATGTCTCGAACACACTCAAATGATGCTGCACACTAGAAAATTCAAGCCATGGTTCAGCAGTAAGAAAAGCAGGAGTTAAAAAGGGTGTGTATTTATGTTGTGCATCCAGGTTTTTTACATGATCAGCAAGTTCTTGATAATCCCTGAAGATGAAGGGCCTGGTGGAATGCATCAGGGTGAACCATGTTTGGCTAAAGTCTGACCAAACCGACTCTGCTTTAGGTCCAGATTCTTTCATTGATTTCACTTTTTCTACAAACTCTAGTAGAACCTCTTCACCTGGTTAAATTCATGATATTATAGATATGGAAATGGACAAAAGAGGAAAAAGTTAACTAGAAGGCTGAGGAAATGGGTTCTTACATTTTTTCAAATGAACGTTAGAGAGAATCCCCAGTGGTAAATCAGGGGCATCTAAATCCATCTCCATCATTGCATACCTGTCCAGTGAAGAAAACGACTGGTAAATCCGACATCCGAAAAGAGAATGGGATAAAGGCCATGTTTGAAAGAAACATACTTGTAAATCTCCTGACTGCAAAGAGCCTTTACGAAGTTTGCAACCATTGGTTCAAGTTTACAATGTGCTGCCGCAACACCTAGCTGCCGAAGGCCGAGTCCTCCACATCTCACGTCCACTCCATCATCCTTGTGGATACAATGAAACTGATTAGAATAAATATAATGTGAAAATAAAAAAATTCAATGATATGGTCAGAACCAGAGAAAGAAGTGATTTTTACCATGTCTATAGGATAAAATTTCAATGGCTTCTTCTGAAACTTCTTCTCCCTTTCCCATGGCTCAAACTCATTTCCTGTTACCTCCTCAAAGAGTTTAACAAACTCCTTCACAGCACCGTCAACATCTTTCCATTCGTCGAGCTTCTCCTGAGCATTTGGATCATCACCTGCTCTCCCTTTCTTGTAGTACAAGTGGAGATTACCGTCTGGTACCTTGATAAGTTGCATAATACAATACCTATACAAATGAAGCTTGGAAATCAGTAACTGCAATAGAGTTAACTGTAGTATCAATATAGAATCAATAAAAGAACTCGCTGCATTACTCATTAATGGATCGTCCTTGGTCGCAGAGTGAAAAGGCACAGTTGTATAATATACCATCTTTCTCAAAAATTTGACCACCTTGCTCTTGCAATCTGCTATCCTTGTAGACTCCTCTTTTCCCATATAGCTTGAGCTGCAAGCAATTAAATCACAGAATTGAGACCAACCATCTTGTTCTTTTAAAAAAAAATACTCCAATTTCTATGAGGTGAAATAGCATACTTCTGCTGAAAATGATTCAAGTGCTGATTCATCAGGAACTTGTTTATCCCATGGAATTCCTTTGCCGTCCATGGAAAGATCTGTAACTATGTCATAAGCTTCTAATGGCTGTGCTTCTTGTTTCTCGATGCTGTCGAGTAACCAAGTTTCACTCACAACTCGTACCCCTCTTTCCCTGAAATTTTCCATCCATTGTCATTCATCTAAGACTTTCAAACCCTAAAACCTTTTCAATGGCACAAAGTTCCCCACGCATATACTCACATTGCTTCTATCAGTTTCGATGAGCCACCGCGCTCCCGTTCGGAGGGAGGAGCAACCAAGCAAGTTATACCTGCCCCCAGAGTTTTATCAAAACAATAAACAAGAGAACATATAGGCATCATAAAGTAGGACACTTTGCAATGGTGAAAACAATTACCAATGACTGAGTTGGAGACTTTCCCCCCATGTTTCTCTATCTTGGATTTCCAGAATTGCTGCATTAGAAGAGTTGCAACGTGAAGGGTTTCAGCCCTTTTCAGTCAAAGAACAAAGATTTAAAGGTTCAGCAATATCTAAACTGAAACATTTTCACATACATGTGTGCGACTAAGTCGGCCCACCAGGGAAATCATCATTCCTAAGAAAGGTTTGTCAGTGACTTCTACATACCGGTGAGGCCGGATCCTTGGATCCTCAAACTTCTTCAGCAACTATAGGAAGAAGAAAATGGTAGAGCTTAGTGAACTTTACTGAAATAAAATCAATGAGATTAATAAGCGAAAGTTACATCGGCAACAGGAGAATTCAGGGCAGAATCAGGCAGTTTGGGTGGTTCTTGCTTTCCTTGCGGGAGTTCTTGTTTTGTATACACAAGAAGACCACTCGCTATAAGTTCCCTTGCAAGAATAACGGTTGCCATCAAACTCCAAATCACCATTGCAGATTTGGCATTTCTCCAGTGGTCCATAGAACAACATATCAAGGCTGCCAACAGCAAAAAAGAAGAAGATTTTAAAGCTCTGGGTGATTTCATTAATGAATTATTCGCATGAAAATAGACTAACCATTTGATGGCAACTGAAGCATCAGATCCAGATGAACCCTGGCCATTGGCTTCAAGAATTTCCCTCATTTGCGCAATAGATAAGTGCTCTTTGATAGCTTTACAGAACTCTTCAAACTCGTTAGCTACATTAGATGTAGCTTTTTCCTCGTACTGATCATTACCAACCTCAACCTTGGGTTTCTTCGGAGATTCTTTTCCTTCATTACTTTCCATCTGCTCTGCCTTTTGCTTTCTTGTCACAATGATCTTCTCTTCATCACCAGTTCCATGTCCATGAGCATGAGACCTTGTTTCATGAAGCTTCACACATTAAAAGAAACAAAAGTTAAAGCCTATGTATGCCATTAGAACTATCATTATGAAACCAAAAAAAATAGTAACAAATCTGGTACAAAACCTTCATGATTTTCCTCCTCGTTTATCGTCAATACAATTTCTGTGAAAGAAACTAGAGTTTTAGTATGGATTTTCGTACAAAACATAAAAAGCCTTAATAGGGCACTATTTTCTAACACCAACAATCTTGTACTATATAAACGATGCATTGAAATTGATGGA